CTAATCTTAATAAACCTAATAATTTTTCTCAAAAGCGCACAAGAACTACATTCATTAATGATTTTGCTGATAGTATGAGTAAGAAAGAACAAGAAGATCTTGAATTTACATTAGCCCGAGCATTATTTGCTATGGGTGTATCATTTTCTTTTTTAAAAAATCCATATGTTATTAAATTTTTTCAAAAAATTCGTCCTGCTTTTAAATTACCAAGTCGATCAAAATTGGCAAATGAATTATTAGATAAAGTTTACAAAAAAGTAAAAAAAGAATCTGATAATAAAATTGCAAATGCACAAAGCTTGTGTATGATTTTAGATGGTTGGTCGAATATTAACCAAGAATCAGTACAAAATTTTATAATTTGTACTTCTGAGCCAATTTTTTTTGATGCAACGTATTCAGGAGAAGAATCCCATACAGCTTTGTGGGTTTCAAATGAAATAATTCAACAAATAGAAATTGTTGGGTCTGATAAATTTTCAGCAGTCATTACTGATACAGCAAGTGTAATAAAAGCAGCATGGAGAATTATTGAAGAAAAGTATCCTAAGATAGTATGTCTTAGTTGCACTTCGCATATAGTAAATCTTTTAATTAACAATATTTTGAAAATAGATGAAACTAAAGTAACAGTGGATAATGCAAAAAATTTAGTAAAATATTTTAAATCGCATCCACAATCAATGGCAAAACTTAAACGTATTCAACAAGAAAATTATTCTAAAGAAATTTCACTAGTCTTACCTGCAATTACACGATGGGCACCCATTTTGAATGTTTACAGTTAATTAAAAAATCAAAAATCGCTTTAGAGCAAGCATTAATAGATATAAGAATTTGAGAAAATATAAATTTAGATTTAAGAAATTATATATTATCTGATGAATTCTGAGAAAATTTGGATTTATTAAGTGCTATTTTAGAACCAATAGTAGTTACATTAAAACAGCTTGAATCAGATAATTCGACTCTTTCATCTATCTATTTTTACTTCAAAAAAATGGTAGAAGAGATTTGTAAAATTTCTTGTTGTTTTTCTGATGAACTTAATAAACTTGTTGAAGAACGATGGGAATATACTTATCATCCAATTCGAATAGTGGCCTATATGTTAGATTCATGATTTTTAGAAACAAATAATCCATCAGAAGAAGCTATGGGATATTCTAAATTTACAATATTTATTAAAGAAAAATTTGGTCAAGATGAATCTGTAACCTTGTTTATTGAGTTGGTTAAATTTTGCAAAAAAACCTCACCATACGATAATGAAGTTATTTGGAATTCAGCAACATCATTTACTCCATTGTTATGGTGGCAATTATGGCCATATAGTAATCTTCAACAAATGGCTATCAAAATTCTTTCTATTCCTACATCTTTAGCAGCTGCAGAACAAAACTTTTCTACATTTAGCTTTATTCATAATAAAGTTCGTAACAGGTTGCTTAATGATCGTGTTAACAAGTTGGTCTATTTGTATGGAAACCTTCGAATGCAAAAAAAAAATATAAAGCGTAAAATTAATATATCCAGTAGTAAGTACGATACTATAACTGATCAAGAAACTAATTGTGAAACAGTGATAGCGATGAATTATTCGATAATGAATTTGAAACGAATGTAATAGATTTGACAGCCAATGAAATATAAAATCTAATAATATTATACGAATAAATCTTGATTTTTAATTACGTGTTATTATAAGTTATTATACTGTTATTATACCATTATTATACTATATAATAACCGGTTATTATACCAAAAATATATTACACCGTATAATTACATCCCTACAAACAGGTTTATGCAGATACCATGGATAGAGATTGGACTCTAATAGGCTCCGGGTTCTCCATATTACCCATTATTTAAAAATAATACTGATTAACGTTAATAAATGATCTATGAAATAATTTATGCGATATTTGATATTTTAGGTAGTGCACCTACAAAAATTTTCCCCACCTGTGAATTTATAAAACCGCGTTATAATTAGGGTTAGAGCGAGAACAGTGTAAGGTTAGGGTTAGAGTTGGGTTATTGCTATTGGTAAAATTTCACAAGGAACATTTTTAATTAGGTCGCAGAAGGTGGTTTCTTAATTAAAATTTCGAGTTATTTCAGTTTATTTGTAAAAAATGGTTTCGCTTCGTTTGTTT